ATCTGAAAAAAATCGTGGGTCTCAAAAGCCGGCGAATTCCTTGAAGGGTCCTTACCTCCAAAAACTCCAAGATAGAGGAGCATAAAGGAAAAAACTGATGATTTCTTCATTGCGCTCTTTGGGAGGACACGCACCTCTTAGTAACTGTGATCTCGTCAGTCAAACCCGATGCGTTTCTTTTCTTCGTATAAATTCTCTCTTTTGTTTGTTTAGGTGTTTAAATCGCCTATTGTCACATGGCGTTCTTGTAAGGACTTTTCGCTTTTTATTTAAATACATTTCGGCTTTGTTTCTTGGACTTGTGTTATAAATGACGGCTCTTGTACAAAGAACGCGCCAGGACATTCAATAAAGTTCACAGCTAGTCAGCTTGGTACTCCCTTAGAATGCTGATTATGAATGCTACTTTTTTTAGCTTTACTTGCGATGTTAAAAGAACTACACTATGACAAAACGAAGAGGGAAGATATTTCATGTCTTAAGCACCGCTACCTTTTTTTATTAGGCAATATTTAGTTTCTTAAATTAGAGTAAGGTGCGCGCAGAAATGATTAAAATCCAATGATTGTTCTTTGTACAGAGCGTAGTTTACTGTTAGAACTAATTTGCGGTACCCTTTCTCTGAAAGGATTAAATTATAATCTTTAAGTGTTTCCGGAAGGACTAATTGATTTCCATGGGACAAAACCTCTAATGATTTATGCAACATGAATGAAATGGTGATACATATAGAATGAGATCCTTCTTAGACTAAAGAAATATAAAACTTATTATGAAAGAATAGGTAGTTTAGTGATTAACAGCTTTTTTATAGGGATGCACACCACACTGAAAACAACAAAAGTTGTACATAAGAAAGAGTGTAAATATTGATAAATAAAAAACTTTTCATTAAACTTGGCTTCTCGCATTGCCAGTCACTGACCATAATGATTTATGTTTACTTACCCGAAATCTGATTTTGGTTACATTTAACTGATCTCCACTAAGCTCAGTTACTGGTCTATGAAGTAAATTAAATATTTGATGTTACTGCTAGACGTTACACGATACTTTGTCTGAAAAGGGAGTTGTAACAGCTTTCCAAACGAATCCTAAGAATTATTTTTATGTTAATTACAACTATTTTTGGCAATTGCTTTTTTAATTTCAGTTCTCTTGGTGCCGTTGCATCATTGGTTGCGTCGCATTATCAAGGCCTTCGAGTCATTTATTTGCTCTTGCGAGCTAATCTCTCAGAGATTTTCCTATTTTGTTAGATATGATGGAAGACTAATTATAAATTGATTTCAGCAGAGGCCGGTTTTCTATTTACACTCTAGTTTTCCATCACTGATTTTGTACTGCTGGTTAATGTGTTGTATCGAAAGGCAACAGTCTCCTTTTATTTTTCTGGTATATTTTTTAAATTATTTTTTTGGACGTACGTTGACTTATGTTCTTTCTCCCCGCCCCCTCCTCTCTCTGTCTTTTAGCCGCAAATTTTGTCTTACTTATAGACTTATTTACTCTCAAGCTGATAAAGTAATTCGCTCCCAAGCCATTTCTAAGTGAGCCTAAGGCAAACAAATGTTTAAAGACTGAAAATACCCTTTCTCAGCAAATGTTCAGGTCCCTTTCTTACAAGCCAGCACCATCCAAAAGCTCAATAATTCTGTGGTCATAAACAGAGGATAACAGACGTTGCTTTAGTTTGGAGGTTATTTCAGGTAACAATGGGCGTTCCTATAGCAGCCCTGACTACAGTCGTGCAAATTTGGCGCTAATATCCCTAGTCATTGGCGTATCCGTGTATCTGAGTTCGCTCTTCCCGATATTCAATCATAGACACCATATAGCTGGATATTGTTTCTCGCATATAAATAGCTTACTTAGTTCGCTTCCTGCCAGTTGGGATTTTTCTGTTTGATCAGGAGCCGATTTCTTGGTTTGGGTTTAATATTACATTTTTTTTAAAGCTATAACTAGCTGGATTTTTTAAGACAAACCTAACAAAAGCTGCAGTCATTTGACTGATTTGACTGAAGAAAGAGGAAAAAGTAATGCCCCCTCCCACCAGCCCCACCCTAAAGCGAGCCGTTAAAACAGAAACTGAATTTTGGCTGCATGCAGAGAAAGGAGAGAGCGAGAGAGACTATATATCTTGAATCCTCGACTGGTAATAAGAGGATAAAGCCTGAAAGCTGTTTTTGTGTGCCAGGCACTTTTATTTTCACAGATCACTGTGAAGAACACACGAAAAAAAGAAACATAAACCAGAAAATTCCAATATTTCGAACAGGAGCACATTACTTGCAAAAAAGATTCGGACGTAACGATTCATGATCAAAACGTTTAATTTCGGAACCTTTTGCTCACATTTCCGGCAAATAAAGGAAAAAAGTTTCGGATCGAATAGTGATTCCTGCAACGTTGGTGTCCGCAAGGGGGTGACAATTTTCCACGGGCGTAGAGGGAGGATGAGTTTTCGTTACTCAATTAATTAGTCAGCGGTAGTTTGGCAAAATGAAGAGGGACTTCCGGTTCAGGTGTTCCGGTTAAATGATCGAGCTTCCTCTAGGGACGCTTCCGGTCGACTTTTTGACCTTATTTACGGCGCTTTTTCGCATTCTGGCTGAAAACCAGACGGGCGAGATCAAGGTTTTCAAGCGACAATTATGAAGTCTTCCGTGGACGAAGTAAGGGAAAAAGGGATTGCATTTCTTCAAGGAAATTTTGACAATATTCGCTTTTCGGAGAATTACTGTTTTGCAGTCCATAAAGGAGACGCAGAAAGTCTAACTGATTTGATCGACAGATATCTTTCTTTGAATTCGACGTAAAGATAATTATCTTCATGTTTTCATATCCTTCGTAAACTGTCTCCATACCAAATTATTGTGGTTATTTGCTTGAAGTGGCTCCTTGATTCTCTTAATTTGCACATACAGCTCAGCCCATTTTTTAACACAACAGAGGAAATATCCCCATTACTTTCTTTGGAGTCCCCTTTACAGTAGAAAGCTCTGAATCCAGACATTGCGTTCATTGGATCGTTGAAGGTAATAGTAAATTAAACCTGTCAGTTTCTATTATATTTTGTTTATCAGCATTTTTGGAAGTTGGTCAGGATTATTTATTTTTTCTCATTTTTATGTAAGGGGTCGACCATTTAACTCTTGAAGAGGGGGGGATGATTTTGAAAAAAAAAATTCCTGCAAGCGCTTGTTAGAAGAAAAAAACGGCATGCAGCACAAATGTATTAGAAAGCTTATGGGAAAAAAAGGGGAAAAAATATCCTGCCCACCAGATTGCTAGAAAAAAATATTCTTGATGACCAGAAATCACCCCCCCTCCTCCCCCTCAAGAGTTAAATGGTCGGCCCCTAAGTGAAGAGCGTAAAATCGCACAGAAAGTTAAGTTCGCTCGTATTGTTCATGATTGACAGTTAAACATGAAAGTCTCCAGATCTTTAGAGTGGCCGGGTGTGTTGGAAAAACAAAGTTTGTGGTGTTTTGTTTAGCAATTTGTTGAATTGATTGTTACTGATTTTAAAGTAGAAACCTAAGGTAAAACAGACATGATTTTCCATCGATTCAAATTATTATCTACATCATCTACATCTACTTCTACCTATATTAAGTCCGTAACAATCGCTAAGACATAACACCAACCAATATGTGGTGCTCCAAAATTTGCCTTATTTCCCAGTCTCATCAAAGCACAACAACAAAACTAACAACACTTCGACATCAGCCAAGACTAAAACACTGATAGGATTTCGTCTTTGATGTTCTTTGATATGATTTCTTATTACAAGCACTCTCTAGCAGAAGCAAGCCCTTCCAAGAACTAAAACATTTAAAAAGTGCTCCTAATTTCGAATTAGCCCCGCCTCCCTTCCCCCTGATTCAGCAATGTCGAAACTAAAGCGCCGATTGGTTGACATGGTTTGTACTATGTTTCAATTGCAGGACTCGAGGGGTGGGTGCTCTGTCGTATCGGATATTTTTGATTACAAGAGAATGCGTGCCAAATACAATGATCCTAATAACTTCAATATCGAAATAGAATCTACAAACCACTGTTATTAATGTTATTTCTTTTCGGCAAATACCGGGTTATAGCATAGATTCGCGATTCGGAATTCGCGATAGCGTTAAAATAGAACAAAAGAAAAATGCTTTTTAGTTTTTAGAGACATCGTGATTGCGGTGAAACTGAGTGGATCGTGAATAAAATTAGTTACATCCAACTACTGTACTTGTGACTTGTGGACAACACTGTTATTGGGAGGCAAAACATTCCCCATAATCGAAGAATTTTTTTTTTTTTTTGGTTTTGAATTCCGGCCCCATTCAATCATCCCCGTCACTTGGAATCAATACAATATATATTCCCATACATCAAGTACCTACCACAGCGTTAAAGGACACCGCTGACTAGTTAATTGAGTAACGAAAACTCACCCTCCCTCTAGGCTTTTGTACATTATGCTTTTGCTTCCCTACTAAAATGCTCCACCTTAATGCTCCATTTTTCCCACTAAAATGTCCGGTCTCCCCAAAAAAGTCACTAAAATGCTCGGATAATGCTTATTATACAAACGGTTTTTTAAATTAATTTCAAAGTCTACACTTACAAAAACGTGCAAGTGTTGCAAGTAATAACGACAACGTGTACAAGTTCATAAATACAGCCAAAAAAACCAGCTGTATTAGGTTTTTTGTGAATTTTGAATTTTAGTCTTCATTTTGTTTAAAAAAGCAAGAGCTCATGGGGCATGGGCTCCTGAAAAAAGTTAATTTCTATTTTATTTTCTCGGAAAATTTAATCTTCCGGGGAAAATGCCACTAAAATGCTCGAAAAAATGCTAGCATAATGTACAAAAGCCTACCTCCCTCTTCGCCCGTGGAAAATTGTCACCCTCCGCAAGGTTAACGTGGTCAGCGGCTGCTTTTTTAAGGGAATTTACAACATCCTTTACATGAAGTAAAAAGAATTGATCATCCCTCGTTTAGAAGTTCGAAGTGAAAATTTCTGCTGTTTCTGAACATCTTCTCAAATATTTAAACCACATCATGGTACAGCTTGAAAGAAGACGAGGTTTGCTATTTAGTGTTATCATTCTGGGAGCGATTGTCAGTGGAAGTGTGTATTATTACGTACGTGACTACTGGAATATCGAAGCCAAGGTAAAATCGCGTTTAATATTTTCAGCATACATTGTGAATGTACATGTACCAGTTTATCTTGTACCACGACAATTCTTGCCATCGCAAGTGATATTTTGCCACAAAAGTTGATAATCTATGACTTAGCATAACATTCAGCCATTGTAAATTTGTAGTTTCATGACTTAACGGATGACAATAATGTCAGGTTCAATAATACTCATATTGATGTGTGTAATACTACATACAGTGCAACTTTTAACTAATTCTAAAAGAAATGTTTTACTTACAAAGTTGTTCATGCTTAGCCTGTGTATATCGAGTTATGGATGCCCGCCCAGGAAGTTTGGTTGGAGAGCACGAAAGATGCGTAAGAGTTGCTCGAGGAGCAGCCGAGAACAACTCTAGCTTCTTGCGTGCTCTCCAAACTTCCCAAGTGCATCCATAACTCGATATACACACAGCTAAAAGCATAAGCAAATTCTTTTATAATGTAGCTGACAAAAATGCTTGCTTCTCGATTAACTGCAAAATTCTCGTAAGGCACGACACAGGAAAACAAATGCTTCTATTAGCTGGTTACAAACACTCCGCAGTCATCTAGTTTGAAAGAAAATTTGCTTATATATTCATTAACGGTCAATGGAAACTAAGCAGAAACAAAGGTAAAAGAGTCTTAAAGTCCACCTAAAGTTAAAATACTCACATGTTCGTTAGAAGACATGGAATATGGTTTGAATTCGTTGAAAAGATGTTTGTTTTGTTCGGCGAAATCCAGAAAACTTGTTTTTTAGCAAAGACGACTCTCATCCTACTTTTTATTCTTTTACAAACAATGGCTGGTCATTACGGCTTCTTGAAAATACCTGGCAGCAGATTGTTTTTGTGAGTTATACAAATGTAAATTCATGTCTTCTTGTGTAATTTGTCTTGCTATTGCAAGAGAAATTTTCCTGCATCAGTCGGATTGTTCAGCGATAACAACAGTGCTTAATTTTTCACTATTAAGCTTAATTTATAATTAACTTACAAGTTTTGTAAAGGATAAAGAAACGTTAAAAATGGAGGACACTTTATACAAATTGGATATTTCCTGACACAGACCAATTTGCGGTCTTTTTTCCAGCTGAATGTCAGTCAGCTGTGCCAAACACAGCTGAACATGTCATCAGGAAAGAAATTCTTATTAACACACGGGCGTGCGTAAATAAAGGTTTTGTTCATAGCGGCTTAATAGGACTTATATAAATAGTTTCCTTTTTGCCTTGCTGCTGTTCAATGTGGGTAGAAAAAAGTGGTGCATGAGTGGCAGGCAGGATGTTCTTACCACATTGAATGGGCTACGTCATTTTATATCTGTACCCCCTGGTTAAGGACTTAAGATTAAATAGAATTGCATTTAACCCTGAACACTTTCAAAAAGTATTAGTCTATCCCCTGAAGAATATGTCTCCACCCCCTGAAAAATATGTGTCTACCCCCTTAAGAGAATATGGGTCTACCTCTGAAAAGTATGGGTCCTAACCCCTGAAGAATAATATTATGGGTTTACCCCCTAAAGAATATGGGTCTACCTCTGAAGAATATAGGTCTACCCCTGAGGAATTTCATAAAAATTGAAGCTTCGCCCTCAAAGAACGAATCCAAGCACCATCATGTTACATGTAGATAAAACAAAGATAATAATTTGCCCATGATGACACCTTCTCATGTTTATGTCAGGCTACGCAAACACAGAAAATTTTTTGTATTAAATCTAAGGAAAATTGCCAGTGAATGGCCAACAAAAGCATCCCAGGTGCATTTCTTTCTGGCAAAATTATTGTGTTCAGATTGGTAAATTAGTCTTGTGTATAATCTATATACATTTTTACAACTGTCAGGTATCTGGGTAATCTGTTTGTCATGTGTTGCTATCTAATAACAGAAAGACTGCCCTGCATGCCAAGTTAATTTTTTGGAAATTTAATTGCCTGTGGGAATCAGAGTTCTGTCTCATTTCACATTTTTTGCTATTTTCTTCTTCTTGTTCGTCTATAGCAGACATCAAGCAAAATAAATTAGTGATACTGCAAAACCTGCATGTAAACACAATTATGCAAAGCAGTTTGAGGTAAAAGTGTTTTTTAATTAAGGGCTGGAGACTGATACAGTGTGTATTAAGTGTTTCACTGACAGCAAAATGCCACATGCCAGCATACAATATACAATGATAAAATGGGAAATTCAATTATACACTGAGCCTAACAATAAATGTTTGTAGAATTTTGTCCCACTTGCTTGTCACAATGAAAAATTCTTATTTCTTAATGTAACCATTATGATTTATTTTAAAATTTTAGGAAGCCCGTGTTGTTGAACTTGAGAAATTGATAAAAGACAAACAGGCCAGAGTGAAAGCATTACAAGAAAGCATTGATGGCAAGAAATAAACTGAACTTAATTGGGGAAACTGCTGCTTTTAAAGAAGAAGATATTGAGGATGATTTGACCTGACTTACACAGTTTCTGTTGAATAAATACTTCAAGAGCAAGTTAAATGTTTGTATATGTAAAAGTATTGAATATGATGGTGTTAGAGGCTTGATAAATTCGTTAATTACAGTTCTTGTTCTTCTCCTTGCACAATGTAAGCTTTATCCAGGAGCATTGCCAAAGGTTGATGTTCTAGGTAAAATCCATTCTCTTGTCTAAATCCATTGTTCAAAATAGTGTGATTCACAATTTTCTTTCTTGTCCTATCTCTAATAGTTACGGCTATGAAACAATGAAAAATAATTAACAATTATTCCTCGAGCCTGAATGGGCTCTGAGTCAATAGCCCATGAGGCCGAAGGCGGAATGGGCTATTAACTCAGAGGCCATGAGGGCTCGAGGAAAAATTGTTTTAGTAAAATCCAACTAGTTTGTCAAAAATATCGAGACAAAACAACTTTAGCTAGTTGAAGCTAGACTTTAATCCTTTTTTACTGCCAAAAAGCCAGCGCTTTTCACTACTAGCAGGCTATAACATATAGCCCAGTAGTAGCTCAACCAATCAGAATGCAGCATTGATAATAGACCACTAGTTGGATTTTATTGACAGGAGACAAAGGAAATTCTGATTTAAGCTGAGAAGGGATTTTATCTACAACATTTATCATGTAATGTTTGGAAGACCTGTAAGAAAAATGCCTTAAATTTTCTTTTTTTGTGAAAATTAATAAACTCATATCAGTTTTAGTAAGTTTTTTTGCTGAAGTAGTGCTTGCTGCATTGTTAATCATTGTATACTATTGTATGCCTCACCCCCTCCCCCACCGCCACCCCATGCATCATCTCACCACCTCAATACAGCTTTAGGTTAGTTATAAGATTGGCTACCCCTGCTATTACATGTATGTTACAAGTGGAGGTTAAGTGATTGTCTTTAACCACAGTCTAATTTAATCTTTTTTAAAATTAATGGACCCACAGTGAGCTGTCGCTGATATTTCAAGTTGCCTTGTATATGCAAATAATAGGCAGGGAATTAAAGAGCTAAGAAGTTCTACAACTTTTCTTTCTTTTCCCTCAAAGCCTAGCCATCAACAACAGCGGCCCTGCCTAAATGTCCATGGTATACCAAAGTTGGGATTTTAAGGTTCAATCTTCTTTTTTTTTGTCAGAATTTTTCCCTTTCCTTTATTTTGAATACCGTAAACTGCTGCTTATACTTGTACGCCTTGGGCTATGTGTAAATACACCTTCGTAAGGGGTCTTAGGAGGAGGGCTTATAAACGGAGCGGCTTATATCCAGGGTGGCTTATAACCGCAATAGAAAAAGTATTTCTAAATAAGCTATAGCATTGAGTACTGGATAAGAACTAGACAGAGGGGAAAAGCGTTTAGTTACTTGAATTCCTTTTCTCTGCTCTCCAAAAGAAAAGAGGTTGACCTGATTATAGGGTGTTCATTTCTACTTTTTTAACAACTTGTATCAGCGATGAGCAGAGACGAAAAAGACATTTTTATTGAATGCAATTTTATTTTTAAGCTTAGCGTTACTTTTGAAGCTTATCCGTCTGAGACGGATAATCCATCTTCAAAATCCGTTAAAATTGACGGAAAAACAGTTGCATAAAGTCAGGCAAATTGTCCATCCAAAATTAAGACCGTTCCATTTTCAAATTAAGACATATTATATGTCTGACGAGAATTATCCAACGAATAATCCGTCTCTAGTGTCAAAACATGTTAAAACACCCTTAAATATAACTCGACTATGAGGCTTTCAGTCGTCAACCGCATTTGGTATATAACTTCATTGTGCCAAAAGCCATTTACAGATTACTTTCCGGGGCACCCGCATAAATATTGGGAAGTCTGGCTTGCCTCCTCGGGACGCCTAGGCTGTCACGTGGTTGGACCCCATCCTTCGCGTCCATGCTTCTACAATTGATATTGTCCGCGTTGTTGAAGGTTTTGGTCTCAAAGGAGAGAGGCCTGGAGAAGACTCTTGGTGTCATCGTTAGTTGATCCATCTGATCTCTGACGCTCATCATCGACTGTAAAGAGAATTATTATACATTTTTCAACCTTGAAATAATCATAATTTTCCTAACTGTGAAACTGTATTTTAGCAATGAAATGTTCCTCTGAAATTGAATGATACATTCTATTCAAGGACAATACTCTGCGGTCGGTAGTCTTCTTCGAGGACGTTCTTAGGGCTTCATCACGTGTTCGTACCTCGCGAACGACGTTCGTTTTGAAGGAACACGAGAAGAAGCCTAAAAACATCTGCTTGTTGAAAATTTATAAGTGTTTGGTGATCTTGACATACTGAACTGATGGGTTGTCTCTCCGTTCTCTTCTGTCTGTCGGGCTAATCTGAAGTGGATTTCCGTTTTTTTTTTTCAAAAGTTTCCCCACGGTTATTTGAACATATGCATTCTCTTCACTCTAGCTTAACATTTTCCACTCTTTTCTTCACTCGCTCACACTCTAAGATGTTTCGAATTTTCGATCTTTGCTTACTTCTGGTTTATTAAGTTGTTGCTTTAGATTGCTACATCGTCTTTCGATCAGCAGAAATACTATAGATACAACTATTCCCCCTGCCAGAACAATGAAGACCCCAGCCATGTGATCCAAAGAAATCCTCATCGTTGAAGCTGACGCTGGCTTTTCTTTTTCGCAGTCACTGCGATGATCCCACCATTTTTGACGGAGCTTATCCAAGAAACCCTCTTCCCTTAGCTGCAAAATGAACACAGAATCAACTACACCTTAGACTTCTTGAGGATTGAGCCTGGCTGGGTGGAAGGGTGGGTTGAGAGAGTAAGGCTAAGCGGAATACCTAGCATATAGTTTGTAAGTGTAAAGTGGGAATCACCAGAGAAGAAACTGTGTCAGGCCGCGGTATTGGCGTTTTTAGCTATTCTTACTGCATTCATAAATAGGCTGTAACGCAGGAAATGTATAAGAAACTCCTTTGCATACTTAACTTATTTATTTGTTTGTTTATTTACTCATTTATTAATTTTTCTAGTTACCTTGAGTATTGCAACTGAAATTTGATCCGTCAGGTCAGAATTTCTTTGCAGTGCAATGCCGTAACTTTTAGCTTCCAGCAGATTTTTCAGCATCGTCGTGTTACAAGGTTCCTTCATGTTGTAGTAGTCTAGATATGGTTCGTCGGTCAAGTAAGCAAACCCTCCCTCTTGCACCTTGGCCACTCCGTCTTTTGTCGAGTTGACAAAGGTGTTACCCTTTTTCATTGTGTTATACATTTTCTGGTATGTTTCTACTTCTGATTTTTTGAAGAAATCGGAAAGTGACCCGTCGTTTAAGACACCATATTTTATTTTGTTCTGATTGGCCAGGTCTTCTAAGGATTGTATGGTGCTTTTTATGTTCTTGGCTGTGAAAGAAATCTTCGTTGATTAATTGCTTTGAAAAAGAATCACCTGTAACAGTTCACTGTTAGCCTTCAGGGTAATATATGAGGGCATTAAACGAGTGTGTAGGTACAGTGTAACATGGATGTTTGGGTGACATCAATGTTGTCTTTGGACATGATCAAAAAATGTTTTGCCGTCAATTAATCCTGAAAAAGCAGCCGTCTCTGCTCGCTCCTCGCCCCCAGGGACGTTCCCTTATAAAGCGACGAGGAGCAAGAAGAGACGGCTGTATACGCAGGCTGCTGTTTAGTAATCATCGTTCACACAACGCAAGTTACGAAAAGAATTGGGGATGGTAAGGGGTGAACAGACTGAACTAATTTACCAAGGTTTGAAAGGCGAAAATATTCTACGTAACTGTATTACCCTCAGTTAAAAAACATGGACGAGGAGTTGAAGCCGCACAAGAGGTCACTAGGGCAACCTGGAACCTTCAAAAGCAAACCTGATTTGACAGCTAAGCCGTACTGCTCCTCCCATATATGAATAATAATCCACTCATTCATTACCTGTGAAATACGCAGCCAAGTTTGCAGTGTAAGTGGAAATCAAAATTAGGGTAAAGAACCAAAAAGCTCCAGCTAACATTCTACCAGAGGCACATCTAGGCGTGTTGTCAGCACCTTGCTGCAAAATAGACCCCAGGGAAAACCATAAACTGTTGAACAAGTTCAGCTCGTCACCATCGCCCTCACCAGTGCTGACCGCCCTAGCCCGGTAACCACTAGGACTGAAGTAATCCAAGCAGTAGATTAGCAGAGTGATACCTATAACCTGGAGACAAGAAGAACATGAAGGAGTTAACATGCTCAGTTTTGTAACTCACTCCAAAAGCAGGCAAACATGTAAAATAAAAAAAAAATAAAGTGATAAGGGTTTAAGCTGATGGATATTTTTAAAAAGGGCCGAATTTTAACACCGATTCTAAGGATTAGATTGTGATTAACGCAAATTAAAAGAGAATGATGAGATAATGAGCTAACTTAGCTCGTGTTTAAAAGACGAGACCTTATTATTATCCTGAGCTGAGTCGTTCGATTTGCATATATATTAAAACTAATATCATTGAAGTGGGTTTTTTTGGAGAAAACTGTTGGTACCACAAAATGCACGAGAGACCGCTAATCACCAGCCTTTACACTCTCTGAAATGTTTCCGGATGAAAAAGATACTCTACTCAAGACGCTATATAGGAAATTTCTTACCCTGTTCCTAAAATCCATACCTTGTTTAGGCCAATTAAGGAAGTGCGCCCTCCCCCGCCTTCCCTCGCCCCCGAACTCCAGCATAATCTTTAAAGCATGTGTCTAGTATAGAAGGTTTAATATTTTGAGTAACCCATCTAGTAACCTGATAAAAAGAGAAAAACAGCTTACAACAGCGATTGTTGAAAGCCAGACATCCATTTCAAATGGTAGAAGAAATCCGAAGAGATTCAGATCTTCTTTTGTCGGTTTTGGCATGTGTCTAGTGTAGAAGGTTTAGTATTTTGAGCAACCCATCTAGTA